GATGCCCTTGCGCACGACGGTGGGCAGAAGCTGCTCGATGTAGAGGGCCAACAGAGCGGCGCTGATGAAGGTGAGGAAGAAGTTGTGGATGAGGAAGAGCGTCTTGAGCTTGTAAGGCTCGCGGTTGCGCATCCATTCGCGGCCACCGAAGATGATGGCATAGTAGATGACGACGAAGATGCCAGCCTCCTTGATGGTGGACATGGGAGTAACGCCAGAGACGAATCTGAACTCGCTGACGGGGTAGCCGACAATGGGAGTCCAGACCTTATCGAGGAGAGGCCATAATTCGATGCCGAAAGGGCGGTCGAGGGTAGGCAGAGGCAGCTGCTCGTAGAACGAAGAGGGGGCTTGGGTGGCCATCTTGACTGATGCTGTAGTTGGGTTGGAGCTCGAAAGAGGTTGAGGAGGATTGAGATCGAGGGAGGATGGCGCGCAAAGATCTCCTTTCGGGGGAGAGTAGCTGCGGCAACAAATTCGGTTACGCCGTGGGTCTCGATGCGGGTTGCCCTGTGGACTCGACGCGGAAGACGCGGATCTCTTGAGGCTTGGGGGAGGTGAGGGTGGTGGTAGTGGTTGGCTTTTCTGTGTGCTCAGCAATGCACGCGACGCAAGACTGCAGATGCAAGGCGCGGTAGCACTAGCAGAGAAGAAAGTGATCGGCAACCTAACCAGCAAAGGCGACGGGAGCCAGTAAGGAGTGACTGGAGACAATGGCAGCAAAAAGTGAAGGGTTCAAAAGAACAATGGCGACACGCTCTCTCGTCTTCTCTCTACCCACCACGGGACTCCCGGTGAAGTTGTTGACTTTGAGGGAAGGAGGTGGACAGAAGTCAGAACGGGGGACGGGGGACAGGAAGGTAGGAAACGCCACGGACTCGGGGAGCACGGGAGGAAGTTTGGTTTTATGAGGAAAAGGAAGGGCCAGACGGGGAGACCGGCGGCGGCAGCACTTGCATTAATTGGCAGTGGCAGAGGCAGAGGCAAACCTAGGAGCAAGGCACTGAGGAGTCTGAGGTGGGCACTGGGCGGGCAGACAGTCAGTCAGTCAGGATCCGTCGGTGTCAGTGAGCCGTGCCGTCTGGTCTGGTCTGGTCTGGTCTGGGAGTCTGGCAGACACTGGACAGCAGCAGATGCGAAAAGTTGTTGAGATTCCATGTCAAAAGGGGAAAATTCCTATCACGAAGGACCAGGTACCCTGTACTTGTCGCGTTGCTCTTTTCGCGGCCTTCATTTGATCGTGCAGCATGTGATTCGCTGCGCGGCCTTAGCCCAGCCAATGGGCTCTTGTGCCTGGGCCTATGCTCATTTGGGGGGCCTGTTCAGCTTTTATGGTTCCCAGGCACAGCACGAACAACAACCAGCTCCACGTGACTGATGTGGTGTTCGTGCCGTCTCCGTGCTGGGTTCAATGCCTGCAGTGTTGACTCCCGTCAGCTATAGGAGCCAACAGGAAGTGCCCAGTTACAGTACCTTGGTAGGTAACAGAAGATGATAGACGATGCTGAGTGCCCAGGTCTACGGATAGAAGACTGAATGGAAGGCCTGGAAGCTCCGGGTGGATGGATTGATTAATGGAAGCCTCGGGACCCAAGGTAGAGAGGCTGTACCTGCTTTTCTCTACGGTGGCATTGCCTGTCAAATGACGCAGCACCGTTGCGACGAGGTGACCTCTAGCCGGCTGCCAATGGAATTGGCGTTTTGGGTCTCACCTACACTTTGGTTCTGCTGCGGTTTTGCGCTGGACAGGGGCCCGGCATAGGCCGCATCGCAGCTTTCCCGTCGGGCCCCAAAATCTCCAAATCCACACTGCCAGCTCGACCTAGCCCCAAAACAACCGTCTGGCCCGCGAAGTACCTGGTACATCGACGCTCGTGATGCGGCTTGCAATCTCGGGAGTTTAGGCTACGTTGCCAATCGCAAAAGAAGAAGGCCCCGCGACGGTCACGACGTTCTAGCTCAGGATTCGACGATGGGCTCGATAGAAGAGGGTCGCCCAGGAAAAACACGCAAAATTGTACCTCGGCCAATTGGCCCGGACCCAAATCAGAAGCAAGCAACAAGCAACCATCAAGTAATCGATCACTCATCCGACTTCTGAGGGCGATGCCGTCACAGTCTCCAATCTCCGGCATCTTGGGTCCGGTCCGGCTCCGTGTCATCCCTCCCTCGCTCCTGCCTGCCCACCCCTCCTAACACGCTACCCCAAATCCCGTCATCGCCCAGTGCTCCCATCCCCCCTTATTAGATTTAGAGCCCGTCCGGCCGTCAAGCTGTCAGCCTTGCGCATCCCGCGTGTGCGGCTGCGATGGTGTGTGTGAGTGCCGCGCCGTGGCTGCGGGCGTGGCAGGCAGGATGGGACGGTGCGACGGAACCTTGAATCGCCTTGAATTCCGGACAGGGTGTTCAGGTGCCATTGGAGGGGCCTCGATTCGAGTCTGGAGTTCGGGGCATCGGCTCTGTTGCCCTGCCTTGCCAGCCTGCTTACCTGATCGCCTGTTCCTTCCCCGTGGTGCTTCCCAATGGGCTGTCACAGCCACTGAAGATGTGTTAGATCTCAAGGGTTCGCTGCCTGGGGACCAGTGAGCTGCAGCATGATGAGTATGACCATTACCACATTTGGGGATGAATCGTCCACAGTGGCCTGATAATGTGCACTCCGTGTGAAAAGGCGCATCAACTGTGTCTTTACAGCTGCAGCTTGCTGCGTCACCACCAAGATAATCCCAATTCGCACGGCCTGGAGCTCAGCTCCGACCTCACAGCAGCAAACTACCGCTTAGTCATCCAATCAAAATCTCGCAGAATCCAATCCTTTTTCGTGCCGTCAAACACTCACCATCACCCGACTCTAATCCCGACGGAACGCCCATAGCTTTCGCGAGCGAAAAAAAATAAAAAAATAGCAACCACTCACCACCTCCACGTCACACAGCCCGCCGCAACCTCCGACGTCCCTCCGTCCTCCGGTCGCCTTCTCTCTCTCCCCTCTGCACACACACAAAACCGACCCGAAAGATGTCGACCTCTTCCCTCATCCGCGTCGCCGCTCGCGGCTCGACCACCTTCTTCCGTGCGAACCCCGTCCGCTCGACCCAGCCTCTGATGGCCCGCTCCGCCGTCCTCCTGCCCACCATCGTCGCTGGCGTCCCGGCCGCCAACAACTTCAGCACCAGCACCCGCATGCGCTCCAGCGCCCACGAGGAGGAGACCTTTGAGGAGTTCAGCGCGAGGTGAGCCATTTCCTCGACGTCAGGCTTTAGCGTGGTGGGATGTGGCGGGTTGGGACCTTCTGTTCGGGCGTGCCGTTGGGAAAGGCGGCAGTGAGCCGGGGACGATAGGGATACCCGGAATCGACCACGACATGCCACCAACGGAACCCACCACCACCACCACCACGACCGCCGCCCAACCCAGCCATTGAGGCCTCTATACCCCTCAATTCGCTTCCCGAACGACGTCGCTGACTTTTAACCCCAGATTCGAGAAGGAATTCGATGGCGTTCAGGACGTTTTCGAGCTTCAGGTTAGCATGCTTACCCGCTCCCCCGGCTGCATCGAAATTCCTCGGGATCTGAACCTAGTTTCGGGCCCCAAAGTGGTCTGATGGGAGGAACACACGAGGCTGACTCTTGCACCGCACAACCACAGCGCAACCTCAACAACGCCTTCGCCTACGACTTGGTCCCCTCCCCCGCCGTCGTCACCGCCGCCCTGAAGGCTGCCCGCCGCGTCAACGACTTTGCTACCGCCGTCCGCATCTTTGAGGGTACGTGATTGTCCCGCGCTTATCACATTCGATTTTCCCGCATCGCACTTCCGCACGCCCCCCAGAAAGGCTCTGCAAGCAATTGAAACACGATCAATGCACGGCGCGAATCATGTCGAATCGGAAGTCGTAAATCGCTAACCTTTTCTACTTTCTACCCGCAGGCATCAAGGCCAAGGTCGAGAACAAGGGCCAGTACGAGCAGTACCTCGAGGAGCTCAAGCCCCTTAGGGAAGAGCTCGGCGTCACTCTGAAGGAGGACATCTACCCCGAGGAGAAGAACTAAATCTTCTCATCCCGCACAACACATGACCGTTCCTCTCGCGAGAACAGGTGACGTGTGAGATTCGATACCAAACCGGGCAAACAGTCGAACACAACGAACCAGAAGTCCTTGGGGCTGCGGATTGGCCAAGGCTTTAACTTGTATATTCTACGTCGGGGGGAGGGAGCTGCTGCCGTGGTGCAGGGGAAGCGTGAGAAAGGGCAAACTGCTTAAGAGAGAGAAGCTTGCTTTTTATATGTGTGTTTGCGTGTGTGCGTGCCGCTCTGTGTGTATGTGTGAAAGTGATAGATGGGGGAGTTCTTATCCTGGTAGTGTGATTTTGAATCAAGTCTCATGTACCATCTCACCAAAAGCCTCCTCTCACAGATATACAAACCAATACACATCTCATTTGTTTCACAAGACTAGATCTCGTCTCTGCACCGGCCGACCGCATGCAGCCGAATCTGTGGGGTAAAAAACCTGGGGTGGTGGTATGTTCCGACCGACCTCTCGGGACCATCAGAACGCAGTTCCCCTCGCGTGCTGGGCAAAAATGTGGGCAGACCGCAGAAGCAATCTACATTTTCCCCCGCGAAGTTCAATGCTTGGGAAAGGGGCAAGTTTCCGATACACTTCAACTCGGCCCCACGAACGATGTCACGCGTGGTAATCGTGCCATCAGGCGTCATCGATATCACCTTGTGAGACAACATCTAGCAAACACAGATATCGCAAAGACCACTTTCTTTCTCTTTCTACCAGGGAAAAAAACCTCTAGCTCATCGGAACCTAAGTTCAACTCGTAAAAAATACAATAACCCGTCCCTCGGTGAAGGGTATCATGCTTGCAAAGGCCATCTCGCGGACCATCCGTCTGTTCTCTTTCCCTCTAAACAAATCAATACTCACACTCTCACAACGTGCTGGCTTACTTTCCCCTCTCTCCACTATAAGACAGCAATCTCACTCTCTAAGGTGGTTGAACCTGTGATTGTTCGACGGCAGGAACTGCATGCCCGGCACGGGCGTGCTCCCCGTGCCCGAAGACTCGTACGGAACGGGCGAGGTTCCCCTACTAGCCGAACCTCCAGCCGTGCGCGGCGCCCTAGGGCTCATCATGCCGAGACGCGGGCTTCGGGGAACGCTCTGCTGGCGCGTCTCCCTACGGCCGTTCTTAAGCGTACGGAGCTCCTTCTCCACGCGTGCGAGCTCCTTCTCGCGGTCCCGGCTGATGGCCTGGGTCTCGGCGATCTGCCGCTGCATCTCCTTGATCTGCTCCTTGGAGTTGATGTCCTGGATCTGCGCGAGGCTGCCGGCCGCCTGCTTGTGGAACTCGACAACCTGCTCCTTGAGCTCCTTGTTCTCCCGGGACAGCTCACTGTTAGCGTGGTTGGCCGTCTGGTAGGCGTCTCGCGCATAGCTGAGCTCGCCGTCGCGGCTCTCGAGCTTCTTTTCCAGATCGGCAATCTTTGCGAGGGATTTCTCGAGCTCGTCCGTCTTCTGCTTAAACACCTCCGTAGCCACTGTGCCGGCGTCGACCAGCGCTTCGTCGAGAGTTGCAGACTTCTTCTTGAGCTCTTCCTCGAGCTTTTGTACCTTGTTCTGCCAGGTTTGGCTCTTCTTGAGAGCCTTTTCCTCGGTCTGCTTGGCCGCATCTCGCTCTGCCTCAAATTGGCTGCGTTCTTTCAGCGCAGCCATGTGTTTCTCCTGAATAATATTAATGGTCTTGTCATGACTCTTGACCCTCTTTGACAGGCTGTTCACATGCTTGCGCAAGTTTGCCTCTAGAGTCGTCTTTTCTGCTAATTGGTACTCGAGCTCAGAGATCTGGATCATGGTTAGCGCCTTGCACTGTGAGACCGAATGATCATACAATACCTTTGTGGTCAACGAGTCGAGATGGTCCTGCGTCGTGCGGACCTGTACGTGGGTTGGGTTGGGGTTTAGGTGGCCGCGGACCGTGTCGTCGATGCTACCGCCATCTCGACCTGGGGAAGGGCTCACGCGCAGGCGCTTTGTGACCTCTTGGGGCCCATCATCCTGGAATACACATCAGTGGCTGATAATCTCTGAGTAAAGGGCGTCCTACCGCTTTCCGCTTCCGACTTGTCAGCTCCTCAGCGGTTGGGGGCATCTGGCTTTGGTGTTGGCTGTCGGAGTAAAGATCGAGAACTGCAGTCGGGACGGGCTCGGGCTCCCAGCCAAAGTTGGGCTCCGGATCAATAACTTGGTTAGCGAAATGAGCCGTGAGTCCATCAATCATCTCTCCCTGTTCGTCATTACTAATGAGACCTCGGGACTGGAACATGGCAATGAGCAGAGCATTCGTGCGATCTAGTTCGCTCATTTCGTCCCCCAACATCGGTTCGAGATGCTCGACTGAGTATGTAGTCATCAGCCTAATCAGCATAGGTTTCCTGCCGCTCATCTGGGCCCAGCGGCTCAGTACATCAGTCCTCATGATGCCGCCGTCGAAACCAATGACGACGTCAAAGTCGCTCAAATCATCCACGAGAGTCTGTTCTGTGTGCATAAGCACGACGTTCAGAGAATGTTCGTCGTCGCTTTCAAGCTCGTGCAAGCCCTTCAAAGAGTACGCAATATCGCTAGTACCAATGATGGCCTCAAGGTAACCCATGATGGTGATGTCGCGCACAACAATGAGTACCTTCTTGTGGCTTGTCTGGAGCCTCTCCAGGAACCGTCCGACGAAGAAGTACTTGCTATTGGTCCCCATGGCGTGCTTCTTGAGATCTTCCGCTGCTAACGCGTCAATGGTGCCACTGTCGAGAGGCGCAGGGAGGTCGCAGATATCACGCAGCTGGTCTAGAAGCCTTCCAATGGCGCTCACCAGCGTCTCATCTGGCAAAGCCTCGCCAGATCGACAGAGTCTGTTGAAGTGCTCGATCTCGTTCTTGTAGACGGTGATTGTGCTCAGGTAGAGAGGGCGGATGTTCGCTGGGAAGGAAACGGTAACAAGGTATTCGCTTTGGTCCATCGACGTTGGGGGCCCAGATCGATACTGTTCGACATCAGGGGATGATGCTGTGCTCTTCGCCGTGGCCGTGTCCTCTGCAGGTAGAATGCTCAGCGGCGCATCATCTAGTTGATGCAGTGCGGCTAGAGGATCATCCGGCTCGATAGAGCGACTAATGTCTGACGGAGAGATCGTCATGGGTAGTTGCTGTGCGGTCTCAGCAGCCATAAGATTGCCAGAGAAGATGTTCCCCGGGTTAGCCGTCGGTGGATGCTCGCTAGCTGGCGCTTGGATGGCGGGCTGAACGGGTGCGCTGGTCAGAACCGGCAATTCTGATGAAGATGTGGCAGCTCCTCCCATGTGCCAATCTGTGGAAATAGGGGGCTGAGAGTTGATCTGAAGAGACGGATTTTCCATGGCCATCGAGAAATCATGTGTGTCCGTTGGTCCCGTCGCCACGCTACCGTTCCCATCAAGCTGTCCTAAATGCTCCCCAGAGTCATCGCCCAAGTCACCGCTCATAGCCGCCTCTTGCATCTTCAGCAACTCCTCAATGGCCGACATCGGCTCACCCGTGGACGCCATGGCTGCGGGAAGACTGGATTGTCGGTTAGATCCCACGACCGGTGCTGGTGCTGAGTCGCTGTTAGACGGAGGAAGAGATCTCCTTTCAACGCAGGTGCGGAAACTTTCTTCCAGCGACTGGCGGCGTCGGTTATGCCGTAGATGTGCGAGCAGACGACCAGAAGGCGTTGTTGACACGCTTCTGTGCGATAATGCGTCCGAAGCCGACAAAGAGCTATCGATGCAGAGACGTCGTTGCTGTGGCTTGCGGCGAACCGTATCAGGAATGAACTCTTCCTCAGTCAGACTGCTAACCGAACCAATTTGGCTTGCTGAGATTTGAGGCAAAGGCACAACCCGTTGAGCGTGCTGCGTGTTGATACTGTCGCCCTGAGAATCAGATACAGTAATTTGCGCCGGATCAACTGGGTAGGCTGTTTGCGAAATCCGCTGGCCTGAGCCACCACTGGTACCTGTAGTTCTATTCTCTTGCGATGAAGAAGATTCAGAAGACGACGGTGAGTCAAAGTCAAAAGCTGGCTGGGTCAGAAAGACGGGGGGTCCGGATGATTGGGATTCTTGGTGTCTTGCTCCGGATGACCTCGATGATTGATCCGCGTCGTTGTGTCCAGAAAGGCTGTCAACTTGATGTGACGGTATAGACGCGTCGGAAAAAGATGCCGGTAGTGATTCCTGCTCCTGAACAAGTTGAGCGGCAGCTTGGGCTGCCAACAATGCCGAGTCTTGAGATGCAGAACGCGATCTTCGAGGAGCAGCAGATTCTGAATTCGGCAGTTGGCTCTCCGGAATGGATGGAAGGGTGTTTGGTATCACCAGGTGCTGGCTTTGACTTGGAAAGTACTGCGTGAAGAAGACAGGGTTTGAAAAGACTGGATCCTCCTGGCGGTGCTGGGAGACTTCCGAATGACTACCTTGCAAAGGGCTTTGTTTAAGAACGTCTTGAGAAAGACGACCAGAGAGTGCACACGAGAGGCGCGTCTGAAATTCGCTAGTCTTACTGAGAGAAGTCCCGACGCTGGACTGCCTTTGTGAATCTGCAATCTCACGGTCTGAAATGATCTCACCCCGGTTAGTGATCGGTGCGATTGTTGAGGCAGCAAATTGAGATTCTTGGCTGTCAGGCCCTGAGTAGTCCTGTGAGTCGGGAATGGTCCTTTGGCTGAGATTCTCTGTGAGCAGCACCTGATTATCCTCGTCTTCTTGTGTAGAGATGGGCTGTGACCCATGCGAAGGTGAACCTTGAGAACCTGAGACACTGAGGTATTCGGTAGGGTCAAATTCTACTTTGGAGGGAATTGCGACAAAGATGTTACTCGGTGCTTCGAGAAGAATGTCCGAGGCAGCATCCGTGTCGAATTCGGAGCCGAATGAAAGCAGCGACGGCGGCTCACTGCAATGTCGCTTAGAGAGATCGTGTTCGTCCTCCTCTGAGTCTTCAATTTGAGAGTTTTCGGATTCCTCTGCAAAGCGCTCACTATGAAGTCGCTTGCGCCGATGAGGCGGCCGAATAGGTTGGCTACTGTCAGGGGTACTGGCAGTTGGAGAATGCGATGATGCGCCTTGGTCCTCTGCTCCTTCCTCCGGTTCGCGTTGTGATTCTGGCTCTTCAGAGCCCGTCGCGTATTGAGTGTACGCCTCTTCCTGCTTCTTCTTCCAATCAAAGATCGCCTTGGACGTCACGTCCTTGCTTGGAGCCTGTTTGGTTGTTAGAACGGACCGAAACACAATGGCGCGACTGTACTTACCCAAGATGGAGGGAAGCGTTCGCCCGTTTTCTTATCGTCGTCCCAGTCGATCAGGTACTCGATGGTTCCCCCGTACTGTCTCTGGTCAAGAATTTTCTTGATCGTGTACCACTTTGGCTCGTTTGGCTCTCGGGGTTTCTTGCGTTGTTGTTTCGAACTTCGGCGGGCACCACTCGGCATTGACAGATCGCGGACCACCTCCGAGAAGGTGGTGTTTGTGTTGCTAGGGGTTCTGTTTGCGCGTCGGCTTTGGCGTGGAGGTGTCCATGTATGTCGCGCGTAGTCGCAAAGTGTGTCGCAGGTGGTGAGGAAGGCGATCGGTCGCTTTGAGGACCTAGCCGGGTCGCAGACGAGGCTGATAACCGATACTCTAAGCTCTCCAAGCTCGCGCCGCTCGGGCAACAGGATGACAGTGGTTCCACGGTCAGCCTGCCGTGGCTAGTGACACCAGCCCCAATCTGGTCCAATCAAACGACGCTTCTCGCTCTGGCCCCACTCGAGGAACACGCTTCACCTGCAGCCTCGCTCAGCAGACGCGCACGAGCCAAGCAAGTGTCACCTAGACAGGTGGGAAGCTTCACTTAGACCTGGATACCGTCAAGCCAACCAAATCGCGCTGGAGCACAACGGTTGACGAGATACATCGTCGTCTTGGGTGTTCCCTTTTCAAATGAAATCAAGTAAGTTCCAAGGCTCTTTCTACGCATAACGAGGCATGCAGTGGCTCTTTTAAACACATTGAGCTACGCAAGAACAGGGCTCATTAAACCATTCAATATGTTCACTGGTGATCCAGTGCTATTTACTCCACGTGGAGTGCTTTCCAGCCATAAAGGCCGGGTCCCGGGTTAGCCCCAGGCTTCATCGGCACAGCGCTGAGTCGGATCGTCGTCGATATCTCTTATACCATAAACCACATCATGCCTCTTTTGCTTTTGATGTACACGAGTCCCTGAAGACTCCTTTTAGCCTGCGCCCAGCGAAATCCAGACCCAACTTTTGTCATCACCCTTCATACGTATCCCTTACGAGCGCCCTGGAAGAAGAAGCGCACAATGAAGACCTGCAGAGCTCCCATCAACACAATCAATGCGCACTGGATCATGCTGAAGTTGATGATGCGCGACTCGGTGCTGCGGACGGTGCTGAAGTTTCGGTTCTCTCTGGTGCGGAAGTACTTTTGGCCCCTGGAAATGGTCGACAGTTGGCCAGAAAGCTTGAAGATGGTCTCCTCGAGAGTAGTGTGCTGTTCCTGAGAGGCACCCTGCTTAGAGGGGAGCTGAGCGCGAACCTCGTTCTCGACCTGCATCAAAATAGATGGTAAGCATGCTGTGGTATCATTGCTGGGTTGGGCACGCAACGTACGGCGATCTCGAAGTCGACAAACTTCTCGGCAAATGTACTCATCTCGTTGTTGAAGCAGAACTCATAGTCGCCGATCTGCTGGGCAGTGAAGACAAAGTCGCCCTGACGCTCCTTGGATCCATCGAGAATGACCTTGTTGCCCGGTCCCGTCACAACGTAGTCGATATCAAAAGAACCACCGGATTGAACCTGCATCAAGAGAATTAGAGCATTGTCATGGTTAAATGTATGCGTGGTGGTGTCGACGTACGGCGAAGTAGAAGGCCACCTTCTCGTTCTCCTTCTGGGTCTTGGCGTAGAAGCACGCCTTCTCGTTGGCATGGATCTTGTAGGTCAATGCCGTGGCGGCAACCTGAGAGACGAAGCAGGCAAAAAGCCCGCAGGCAACAGCGGATAACCTCATGATGTTGTGGGTGGGAGCCTCGTGCGCGCGTGAGGGTATCTCGATCGATCGACTCTGGAGCTGGCTGAGTATTCAGGACAAGCTGTCGCCAAAAAGGTCACCACGAACGGGCCACGATTGAAAGTTCGGCGCGGAAAATTGGCGCCCGCCAGACGTAAGGTAGCCCCTTGGACCTGTGCACGGACCATTCAACGACAGGAGCAACTGCCAGCGGCCTGCAGCAGCACCGGAGGCAGCTTGAGGTGCTGGGCCGCTAGAGAGGGCCTAGAATAGAAGGTACGTATCCCCACTGGCCCAGACGCTGTAAGGAACCTCGCTGCGGGAAGGTAAGGTGGCCCCATCAGAGCTCCTCAGCTCCTTTCCTCTTCTCACCAGCCACGCTCACATGTTCTCAGGCGCTGAGGTTTCCCCTAAAAAGTGGCTTGTTATCGCAGCGTTGGTGTTTCAGCTCGTATGGAGCCTTCATTAATCAGTGACCTCATCTCGCTGCTAACTGAAGCTGCCCTGTCACGTCACGTCCGTGGACCCGTCTAGCAGAGAGCTTCTTTACCTCCCAAAAGGCAGCATCGCGACTCCTTCTTTCCTCTATCAAACTTTCTTCCCACTTCGTCAGCGGGCAGGTGCTGGGTTGCACCTTCTCCTTGTGCCAGCAATTCCTCCGAACAATTTCATCCAATATCTACCTTTCAACGCCCATCTTCTTTTTGCATGAACCGACCAGCATCTACCAATTCACATCTGCCCACCGAACGGATCTTTCGGACACCATGGGGACTCAAGCGCAAATCGCCTTCTATTCCTCGGTCGCTCTGAGAGCCGTGTCGTACGTCTTTCTTCGATGGGTGAGTTTTCCAAATGCCTTCATTATAAAATTGCTTTTGAAATCGATTGCTGACCATTGGATGCACCTGCAGTTTCCAGGACCAGTAAGTTCCACTTATTATCGGCAAGCTCCCCTGGCTTGGCAGAGTATGCTGATCATTATTTAGGCGGCTGTTCCTCTGAGCATTTACACATTGTTTGTTGTGTATGTGCCTTCATTCATTTCGGGCTATTTCTCAGAGCCCAAGTATGACGTCGTGGAAGACGATGTCGATGTCTCGGTGAAGGAGGCTTTGGTGCAAGACGAGAACGAAGACGGCCAAGATGAACAAGTCGTCGCTGAAGAGATCCGAATTGAGGAGACCATCGTCGTGAAGGAAAGGTCACGACCTTGGGTTACTCTTCTGGCCGGCTCACCCAGCCCGAGCAGCCCTATCTTGTCAATCTTGACGTTCCTCATCAACGTTGTGCTGATTGCCATGACCACCGACTTCTTGTTTCGCGTTCGGCAGTATCACCCGGTCGAGGACCTCTCATTCGTGCGCCTGGGCTATGTTTCCCCCTCGGAAGCCAAGTTCGTCTTGCGCGAGCCTGACCAAACCAAGATGCCGGTTACCATCGAGATTCACATCAAGGACCCTCAGCCTCCTTTCGACAACCCCCTATGGCAGATCGGTGGCGGCTTGAGATACACCGACAATACCACTGACTTCACAGCTACTCTGACCGTTCCCTTGAAGCATTCGCAACAGAGAATCTACGAGTGGAGGACTTCAAACAACCACAGCGGAGAGTTCGTCGCTCCTCCCAAGCCCGGTCAGATGTCAGCTTTTGCCGACAACAAGTTCACTTTCCTCTCGACTTCGTGCATCCTTCCTCGTTTCCCATACAACCCTCTCGAGCATCCTTTGGCCATCCCAGGAATGCGCCACCTCGCCAACATCTTGCCAAAGCTGCAGGCCCAGTTCATGCTGTTCCTCGGTGACTTCATCTACATCGACGTTCCCAAGCGACAGGGAAAGCATGAGGAAGACTACCGCCAGAAGTACCGCCACGTGTATGCTTCCCCCGATTGGGCTCCAGTTGGACAGAACCTCAGCTGGATTCACGTCCTCGATGACCACGAAATTGGAAACGATTGGGACCTGAACACCACTGGTGTCTACCGGGCCGCCATTGAGCCTTGGCACCACTACCAGGAGCTCGCCAATCCCCCTCCTGCTCGCGTTGCGGGCACTACTAACCTGCGCAGAGAGGGTGCAACGTATTTTGACTTCGTGCAAGGCCCGGCTTCTTTCTTCTTGCTCGATACCCGCTCTTACCGATCCACCAATTCCTTGCCTTTCGATCATCCGGAAAAGACCATGTTGGGCGCCCAGCAGCTGGAGGACTTCATTGACTGGCTAAACCGTCCTGAGCCTAAGGGCGTCAAGTGGAAGATTGTCGCCTCTTCGATTCCTCTCACCAAGAATTGGCCGGTCAACACTCGGGATACCTGGGGTGGTTTCCTTGTCGAGAGACGCAAGGTACTGGAGGCAATGTGGGATGCTGGAGCACGGGGCGTCGGTGTCGTGGTTGTGTCCGGTGACCGGCACGAATTTGCAGCCACCAAGTTCCCTCCTCCAGCGGGCGGAAGGTGGCCTGAGACGGCTGCCGCCTACGAGTTCTCCTGCAGTCCTCTCAATCAATTCGCTTCGCCATTGCCGACTTACAGGCAGTACGATGACGAGGACGTAGCTCTGAAGTAAGTGTTAATATGTTTCGCTCATTACTTTGACTAATTACCCCTAGGTACGTTCACTCTGGCAACTCCAAGTTCGGCTCTCTTACTATCGAGAACTTGGCCGAGGGCGCGCAAAGCAGCTTGAAGTACAGCTTGTTCGTCGACGGCGAGGAGACTTGGAACACGATGATCTTGGCACCTCCTGTTCTCGGTGGCGACACGTCGTCTTCCTTTTGGAGTAAGCTGAAGGGCAATTAAACGCCTAGAATGCTCAAGTTTTGGTTGGCAGTTGATCGAGCATAGATAGAGAATGAAATTCAGAATGGTTTCAAAGGCAAGTCGATTGAGAACCAGACTCTACCTTAATGAGAATCAAGCGCCGTGGGTGGAATTGAACTGCTGTTGGTGGAGGTGAAAGCGCAAGCGCTCTGCCCAATTACACGCTGAACTGCCATAGAGACGATAACACATCTCAGTACATCCCGCCGAACGACGCAAAAGATGCCGGTGGGAGAGAGTAGAGGAAGGTGTAAGCGATGGTTACAGTTGCCCGTTCAAGTTTAGGAGTGATGCGGCCCCAGCGTGATGACAAATGCGAGCGCTTGCGCTTGCGCTTTAACTTCCCACTCACTTCCGCTGTCAAACCCGGCAGGTACAAGCCGTTTGCATGGCGGAAATCCAGTCTCATGGCGACTTGTCTTCCTCTCATCGAATTTCTTATGCCTGTCTGACAGCAGTTTACCGAGGGTTTGCGATGGCAGACGACGCCGCGGGGGTGTCAACTCCTTACGGTGGAACTTACAAACGGCCCCTGAGGACGAGAACACGTTCGGGATGGTATGTAAGACACGCTATTGGCCCTATGAGAATTCGCAATTGAACCAGATTCAGTCTTCCATGCCGGAGTAGAAAGCGGAAGTGTGAGTGGGAGTTGATCCTTGGCAGATGTTGAATCAAGTGGCTGACTGCCGAAGAAGGCGATGGGGCCCGTCCCAGATGTCGAAATTGCGAGTTCCGAGGAGACGGATGCGCATGGGGCGTCAAAGTCTCCTTTCACCCGTCGCGAGCGCTTACCCTTTCTGCTGAAGATGAAGCCAGTCTGCTCGACGTTGAACAGCAGAGGCGGGCCGATAACACAGAACAAGCAGATGCGGACGAGCCACATCAAGTACGTCTCGTCTTTTGCTAGCACCCTTTCATCAGTGCTTTACACCTATTCACATACTTTATCAATAGTTCGTCGATGACACGAACGACATCGTAGAATTCTTCGAGGGTGATTACGTGACACCATCGTCACCAATCTCTGACGTCGACGACCCTGTTGTTAACCACGAAGCCGAATCGCAAACTGATACCGAGTTACACACAGTACATTTTGTAGAATCTTCAACTCCAGATGATCAGAACTTGGTTCAGGGCTCATGGAAAGCGGCAGAAGAGGCCCCTGGCCTAAACGCGCGCGCGCAACAACAGATTCTGCCCCTCATCACGGCAGACACTGGCGCACACCAAGCCCCAGCGTTGCATGCCGAAACGGTCGTATCGTACACGGCACCCTTTTCTCTAGGCCAAGCAATATTCTCAGATGCAGCACCACTTCCAGATCTCGACTTACCCGTATCCAAGACCGAGCAAGCTCACCTCATGACAGCCTACCTTCGTGAAACCGGCACGTGGTGTGAAACTACCGACTCCGAAAAGCACTTTACTATCAAAAGCATTCACTCCATGATGGAGTCTAGGGCGTTCGTGGCTGCCGCTCTGGCCCTTTCTTCACGCCAGGTCGACACACTGAGAGGCAGGCAGAGACAGACTGCCTTGGAGTTGTATCAATACACTATCCGACTTTTAATTTATCAAGCTCACACCTCCATCCTGGCGACATGTACACTTCTGTGTGTATACGAGATGATGGCTTCCAGTGTATCAGAATGGAGGCGCCACTTGAACGTATGTGGTTCTCGAGAACCATCTGATATCCGCTAATGCTCGTGCAGGGATGCGCTGGACTACTCAAAAGCCGTAATTGGAAAGGATGCAGCAAAGGAATCATCAAATCATGTTTTTGGGCTTTTGCCAGGATCGGTACGCAGCTCTTTGACCTCCAACAAGCCACAATGCTCACAGTTGAAAAGATATCTGGGCAGCCTTCATCATTGGGCAGACGACTCTGCTTTCTACCACATGTTGGGTTGAGAACGATTCTATTCCGGCGGTATCCGCAGCTGCCGCTACGAGCGGCGACATTGACGATTATTGCAACCTAGCCATATTGATATTCGCCAAGATCATCAACCTGATTGCTCACAACCCACCCTCGCCCAGGATTTCGGCGGCTCACAGAGTGACCATGACTGAAGATCTGTGGAAAGATTTGAGTATTTGGTGGAAATTTCGACCGAGAGATGTATGCCCGCTTTTGAGGGAAGAGCCTCGGGGGAGTGGGAACCCATTTCCCACTGTAGTATTCACTACGTCGGCCGCAAGTAAGTTCCGGTTCATGATTGCGGATTTGATGCTTGAAGCTGACATTGATGAGTATGTGGAAATACATTCTTCCATGCAGGCTCGATTCTCTTACTCGAGACTGGTCTTGTCAGTTCAAGTTCGACAGAAAAGGAGTTGGTTAGTTCAGCCCCCGCCCCGTGTTTTAATCCGTTGGGCGTTATGAACTGACCCCCTTTAGTCTGATCCGATATGGCATGCTAGGGAATTGGGCGGGTTATCAATCTCAAATGACTCCCAGTAAGTTGACACACAGAAACTCGGTGACCAAGACTGAAGTCTCATGAAATAGCGCCAACTGGGTGAACCACTTGCAGCCCCTTTTCATCGCCGGCCGGGCACTTGCCAACAGCTCCCGCTGGGGAGGACGTCTGCTAGAAACACAGCCAGCTGACACTTACGACGACTGTTTTGGAAATGGCGAGGAGTACGCTCTGGAGAAACTGGCATTGCTAAAGCAACTGGCCAGGATCGAGAAGGAAACAGGTTGGAAGACATCCGACAGATCTGCAGAGTTGCGAAGGCTCTGGGGTTTCGCATGATGAGATTCGATTCAAAGCCAATCATTCCTAACAACAGCGTGTGTGCCATCAGTACATAAATAAGTAGGAGAGGAGATCCGAACCACAGGTGGCATCAATATGGCCGTTGTCCCCAAATCCAAAAGTAATCCAGCCCAACCTGAACACCCCTCTCGTCCACGTCTCTCCTGATGTCCCTCTCGATCCGACTGATATCTCCCGAATCCTTGATCGTCTCGGCGCCGCCGTCCTGTATCACCGCCGCCAGCGACGGCCTCACAAGCTTCTGAATGGCAGCGGTCGCGTTCTCCTGCAACCCCTTGTCCGCAGCCCACGAGCTCCAGATCTTCTGCTCGCAATTCTGCAGCCCGGCGTTTTCGAACTTTTGGGAGAGGCCAGAGGGCATACTGTCGGTTTTGTCAGCGAGACAGCTCCTCAATCGCGGGAAGAACACAACTTACAAAGGATCCCTCCCGATCCGCGCGCCATGCCTCATGATCGCCCACCACCACTCGTCGTACGCCTTGCTCGGCGGATACGCCCGTATGAACAGGTCCGCCGTGTCCTCCCACAACACCCAGCCCCCGGGCCGGACCAGCTCGACCAGGTTCCCCACCGCGACGTCCCAGTCGTCCGTCTTCAGCCCCAGCGCCAGCAGCCGCACATGCACGAGGTCGAACGTGCCCCGCGCGTCCTCGGGGAAGCGCTCCAGCACGTCGTGGACGCGAAAATCAAGGCTCGGCTGTTGCGGCCGGAGCGGCGGCGACACCGGCGGCGGGGGGATCGGCGGCGTCGGCGGGCGCGGGGGGAACTTGAGCGGGTCGATGTCGAAGCCGATCAGCTCTGCGCGCGGGGGAAGGATCTCTGTTAGGGACGCCAGCCAGACGCCGCTTCCTGTCGCGACGTCGGCGACGCGGGGGCGTTCTTTAGAGAGGATGTGCTTGAGGATTTGGGATGGGAGGAGGTCGCCGGTGAGGGGGGTCCAGAGGTTGAAGTGGTTGAAGGCGAGGCGCTCGAGCTCGGCGTCGAGGTCGCCGCGGTTGAGGTTATAGATCGTGTCTGTCCAGGAGGACGGCGCTTCTTCAGCCATCTTTTGGCGCTTCGATCGCCGAGGTGTGCTCGCTCTGTTTTGGTGTATCGTGTGAAGGGGTCTGGTAGCTTTAGATCACTCTGAATGACACATTGGGTGACATGAAGAAGACAGCGTTGCTTTGAGACGATAGTCGGATCTATAAGAGCTCACAGACGGGGTGGTTGCTGATGACGAAACCCCCCTCCTGCCGACGCGACCGAACCTACTATTCCCCCTCCATCCATTCTGTGGTATAGCATGTAGGTTCGCGGAAGTTCCATGGCCAAGAGATGTCATGGTTGGATAGCTCATGCGCACGAGACCAGGCACTCCCTGGGGCGCTTGAGCTTCCAAGGACCCGGGCCTCCATGCAGCTCAGCCCCCTTTCTTACATCGGACGACAACTGCGCGTGACTTTGACGTTTCCCCTCATTCTTAGGCACAACGTCAAACGAACAGGAGTTGTGGAATTGAGTTCATGTAGGGGAAGGAGCTTGAGGTCTGAGCTGTGGGCTCGTGTAACGATGAGTTGTTCGAAGAGTTCGTATGCAGAAGTTCCCTCGGGCCCAGGAGCCGATGGCGTTCCTTTCAATGAGAAAGACTTTTGATTAGACAAGATGACACTGCAATGCGGCGAGCTCTGGTAGTTACAAGAAGGGTTTGCTCACATTCGAAATATCCTCAAGTCAATAACACTAGGAACGTCGTATTTGCACGGCCAATTGTGAGGTTTACTTATTGAAGAACATCCATCGACTAAAGAAACAACCTCATTGTAATAGAACATTGTAGCTCAACAATTTGCCTACTCATCACGGTTAGTTATCCAGGAAATTCTACCCATCCAGTTCTTGTCACCTACGTTTTTGATAAAGCTCATTTGAGAAAAGTTCCTCGAAAGCTCTGCCTTCTGGGCAGTGCTGGATGTTTGAGGAATATCACGTACCACTGGCACATCATCTGGAGCAGGCATATTTTGCCGGCTTGGGGCTGCCTGACAAACCTGCGGTGGCGACGACGGAGCAGACACTGGCGGATATCCATCTCCCCTGTACAAAGCGTCAGGCATCATAGATACCATAGTATCTGGCGCATTGAATTCATCTTGTCTTCTCGTTCTGCTGTTGGATCGAGAAGGCCGAGCATGCGCGTCACGCTGACTGGGTTGCTTATTTATGTTAAGCGGTTTGACCTGTGTTGAAGTCAGTTACGGGCTCCCCTGAATCTCAAGCCAAATGAAAACAACTCACCGTCATGGCTATCCTAGTTGCCGAGTCAGGGGATGCTAGCAATGAAGCATCATTCTGTGCAAATAGTCTGTGATGGTCTTGAGCAGGCTCCCAATGCCTTCCGCTCTGCAAGGCCTCTCCAGGAGGAGGCGAACTGCGACTCCGTCTCAACTTGTCGGAACCCTGTCGGCGACTCACTCTTCCTCTCGTCGGCGAGCCAGGGCTTTCTGAAACTTCTTGCACGGTCGACCGGACCCTCGGAGGCTGGCTTGATGAGCGAGGAGGATGGTACATCGTAATCGGGGTGTTCTGGACACTAGAGTTGTAACCGCTCGTGAGAGGTGGGTATCGGTTTGAACGGCCGGGAGACGGTTGGCGGTTGCGAGATCTGTGTTGGGACGGGGGCATATCCCTCGGTCCGTCAGGCATGGGTCTTGATTGATGGCGTCGTACACCGTCTTGATGGGCTTGTTGTTGGTTCTGCTGCTGAGCTTGTGGTTGGAAGGCCTTGTATTGACGCATAGGTTCTGGTTGTACTGGATATGGATAAGAAGGTTGTTGTTGTGGAAGGGGCTGGTGTTGGCCAAGAGGTTGTGGTTGTGTTGGAACTCCCTGAGAAGAAAGCGGTTGGAAACTATGAGGATGAATGGGCTGCTGCACTGGTTGCTCTTGAAAAGGCTGCGACTGGCGCAACAACCGCTCATCCCGCTGTGCAATCTGTGCATTCTGGTGATTCCGCTGCGCCTGTCCCGGCAGCGGCGTCGGCGGCTTCGTCTGCTTCTCCAACTGACACATCCTCTTTTCCATATCCTCACCCCAGCCGGGCGGCTTCGGCGCCACGTCTCGCCCCGACCGGCCCTTCAGGAACGTGCCGCGGCAGTAGCAGACCATGAGGCCCAGCAGCCAGAGGCCCATGAAGACGCTCGCGACGCCCACGAGCCCGAGGTTTACCGCGCGGGGCATGATCTTGGGCGGGCTGTTGACGCTGTAGCTGAGGGTGACGATCATGAAGATGAGGAGCCAGAGGATCATGGCGCCGGGGAGGAAGAAGAGGGTGCTGTCGGAGATGAACTTGTCTGGGTCTTCGTATGCCATCGTGGCGGGTGGAGTTGGACTTGGGTGATGCGAGGAGGTTTTCGAGAGGATAGAGAGACCGTAAGGTTTGGATGTCGAGCTGTTATCTGGATGATCTGCCGGGCTTTGGAAGATATAGAATGGATACCTGCCATCATGGAACTCTTAAGCACAGAACAAGCGAAGGAACAGGAACAGCGAATATCTTCTAGTAGGCAAAAGACTTTTCTTGAATCTATCTCAAAGTTGCTCCCTCCCGTGGTATTGTACAGAGTGTCTCATCGCTCATGAAAGTAAGTGTAAACCCGCGTATGTATATACAAAAGAAGAAGTGAACCCCCGTCTCACACATCCCCTCTGCTGGTATTACTCAGGACGCCGGTACGGTTCGAAGTGAGACCGTGGCCGCCTGGGACTGCGAGGACTGCGAGGGTTCCACATGCTGAAAGAAACCGGCGTAGCAGGCAACTCAACCGGCTGGTCCGCGCCTATTGACTCTGGGCTGTAGTGCTTGAACGTGTACTGCTTCGTAGGCGGACGCTGCTGTACGGCGTACGCCGGCGGTGGAGAGTTGTATCGCGGCAGTGCGACGTCCTGGTCTGAGTTGTTCTGGCCAAGTTGCTGCCATGGGCGGGGGAACTTCGCGGAGGCGACCTTTTCGGAGATGGAACGCCGTTTGAGCCAGAGCAGGCAAGTCAAACCTGCCACCGAGGCGACTGCTGCAACAGTGGTGCCCGCTATCACACCCCCCGATATGGTCTTTACCGAATTAGCGGCCGCTGGGGTTTCTGTCTCTGGCGGAGCTGTCGTAGACGGTGTAGGAATCTGCTGGACTCCGGTGACGGACAGGGTTCTCGACGCCGGAAGCCTCTCGGCAACAGTGGTTGCTGTCTCAGTTGCCTCTGCTGTGGAGGTCTTTGCAAGACTGGAACCGGATGTCGTGGAGACCAGATTGCTCTTTGTTCTCGTCACAATGGTGTTCGTGCTGGTGGTGCTTCTGGTCTCTTCGTCCTCATCCAACACGCAGGCAGATCCGTCGCGGCATTTGTAGCCAAACGGACAACACTGCTTCCCACACTTCGGTAAAGATTCGCCGAGTTTCGTGGTGTGTATCACGCTGCCCGGATTTTCAACCACGTCTTGCTTGGTGATGTCGCAGGTTATGGTGGTGATGGCGTTGCATGATGCGCCTTTGGGACAGCAAAGGGCAGTGGTGCTGGACGCTAAGACCATGCATGTCGTATCGCTGGAACAACAGAAGTAGTCGGGGGTTCCATTACCGCAGGCAACATGCCCATCGACGGGGCAGCTAGCGTTGGGCCGTGATGAGGCTCTCTGTGTAAGAGAGAGGGTATCGTGGGTTTGGGATAAGGGTGTAAACTCAAGGCCAGAGGTAAAGTGATTATGGCAGACTAGCCATGCAAAGACACAGACTTTGCGCCAATGTAGGGTTGAAAACATTATGTAGTAATTTGGAGATGAATAGAATATCAAAAAGACTCAAAAACAAAGGTCCGATGTAGACCTTCGACGGCACAGCTCGAAGAGAAACCGCCACTCGGCGGGATCATGTCCAGAGAGGGGACATGATGGTATATGAACATCTTGTTCCTTGCAAATGAGAACACCAAAAAGAGAGCTGTTGGTACCAGATGGACAAATCCAGCCAACCGCAACACAGACTCTGCCGCGATGTTGGGTTTGATGTTCTCTGCGTCGTCTCTGCTCTCTCGTCGCCAGCACGGCCAATGAGAAGAGCCCCCTACGCGCGATGCAAACAACGAGCACCAACAAGCAGCAACTCCCAACGTGCAGGAGACGAGACTAAAAACGGTGGGCAGGCATCTGAACCAGAGTGCCGGAACCGCTTGAGTCATGTGAGTGGACGAAGATGCGAAGGAGAGCAGAGCGCCTTGCACTGCTTCTCGTTTTTGGCCTGTTTGCTCTGAGAGATCCTGGTCTTGGGAGATGCCGGGTTGGAGATTCCGGCGCTTGAGGGCGGCAGGGGGGTTTGGGAGATCCCATCCCCTCTCTGCCACGTCCCCGAAATTCGGGTGGCTGTCGTCGCTGTAGGAGTTCCAACAGTCCCAAGGAGTCGGACACGGCGGCTATTTCTGCCACGCGATGGGGGAGCAATAAGAATCCCGCTTGAACGGATTTTCAGGCCCCAATTGGTCTCGGCAGCGGTCTGGAGACGATCAGACACGATGCGGGCGGAGCGAGGCGCACTCTCCTCTCCGGCTGACGACGTGGCAAGCTGTAGGGGAGAAGAGCTCGAGGCGCTTGTCAAGTGGTCCGCTGTAAAGTTAGAACTTGGTGGTGGACAGGGCCCATGTTGGATATGCTGGATGAAAGAAACAGACAAAGCCAGTCCACGTTGTGAGACGATTCGTGTGGTTTCCAGGTTGCTTAGGTAAGTTGTACAATGGACCAAAGGAACACTGCAATGAAGCGGGCAGCCAAGAAGATGGAGGACCCACAGCACATGCGTGCGCCTAGGACAACCTCGAATTTAGCGCACCTCAACTCTCTGGGCAGAGAACACCTCCGCTGGGGGGCAACCTTCCCCGCCATGCCCCGAAAACCTCCCGCCTAGCAATCAGCCGATGTCAGTGCAAAACCGAAGCATTTCGGCTCTCTTCACTCTGCCTATGCCATATCTCGACGGATAAGTGGGGGCATCATGTGCCTGAGGTGGAGGGTGCCCCTCCAAACACACATGAGCCTCCCCCAGGAAAAGACTACCTAAGTAAAGTAGACATCCCTCCCTCCACCCGATGCCGACTCAGATCCGTCGCATTTCTCAAACGAATACAAACGTCGACTTTCAATATCCCGGCCCCTACCTCATCCCCCCGCCGCCTCCGAACTTGCTCCAACTCTGCCCATAATCACATCCACTTCGGCGCGATCAGAGTTCTACCTGGCAGCAACCCTTCCACGATAACAATGTCGTTCAGACAAATCGGCTTACGAGCCGGAAGGTATGGGATTTCCCAAGCGCCAGCAACGGCGAAAAAACAAAATGCCATTCTCTATTCTGCGTTTCTCTCTTCAATTGGCGTTGCGAATGACACGTGAAAGTCGAAAGTGGTCTCACATTGAAGCTTGTTCGTAGTAGTCTCGCGCGTCCTGCGTTGAGCGCCGCACCGCGCCTCCGTGTGAACGCCGCCTCAAGACAGCTTTCCGCAACCACCGCTGCCCGGCGTGTTAGTTACGAGAACAAGATTGTCGGGGTCAAGACCACCAAGCCCGGCATCGAGTTCGAAGTTGGGCCCAACAGCCGAGCACGCCGGACGACACTGTAAGTTGGCTTTCTCGCCGTCCCGCCCCCAGCGCCGACAGCTCAATGAAGCAGCAATGCACCAGTCTGAGATTCACCGCTGACTGCGTGACTTTTCCGATGCAGCCCGCACTTTTGGTTGAGGTATGTTGGTTCTCGGTCCGTTAGAGTTGCGGCCCGTTGATGAAGTATAAAGGGACAACTGCCGATGCAGCCAATGCGTGAACCAGGACACCATGCAGAGAAACTTCGATACCTTCGCTGTACGTCACTTATCTCTCTCTCACCCAACTCAAAACCATCCCAACTGAACCCTGAGATGACAGGTCAATGAGGACATTCAACCTTTGAAAATCGAGCATGACAAGAAGGGACTGAAAATCAAGTGTACGTCTCCATCATTCTCCAGTGAACTCACCAAGATGACGCTGAGACGCCAAGGGGGGCAGGGAACCAAGATAACCACGAGAGCTTTTACACCTGGGATTTTCTGAACCATTACCTATACCGTAACAGCCGTCCACTGGAGAACATCAAGTAAGCGTCGTCCTCACCTTCAAGAGAAGAATCGTCCTGCTGACGGTCCAGGTTTAAATACGGGATCCAACAAAATCACCAAGACCCTCCAACAATCCAATACAACGAGCTTTTCCCAGAGAAAGACTCCGGTGTCGCCAAGTTGACAAACACGATTGTAAGCCGATCCTTTGACTTTGTGTAGGAAGCCAGTAGCTGAAGTGGAACAACCACGATAGCGTGAGCGTGGCTTCGCCTTCGTCGACGGCGTCCCTTTCGACACGCCCAGCGCCACGAAGGAAGTCCTGGAGAGAATCGCCTTCATCCGCGAGACGCACTACGGCGGCTTCTACGACTTCATCCCCGACATGGCCATGGCCGACACGGCCTACACCAACATCGCCCTGCCGGCGCACACCGACACCACCTACTTCACCGACCCCGCCGGCCTGCAAGCCTTCCACATGCTCTCCCACGAGGCCCCGCCAGGCAGCGAGCCCTCCGCCGATGGCGAACTAGGCGGCAAGTCGCTCCTCGTGGACGGCTTCCACGCCGCAAACGTCCTCAAGCAGGAGGACAAGGAAGCCTTCAACATCCTCACCATGTTGCGCCTGCCCTGGCACGCCAGCGGCAACGAGGGCATCACCATCTCGCCCGACAGACTGTACCCCGTGCTCGAGCTCCATCCCCTCACGGGGAAGGTGCACCGTGTGCGATGGAACAACGACGACCGCGGCGTCGTGCCCTTTACGAAGGATATCGCCCCGGAGGAGTGGTACGCGGCAGCCCGCAAGTGGAACGAGATTCTCAAGCGGCCCGACATGGAGTTTTGGACGCAGCTCACGCCGGGCAGAGTGTTGAGTAAGTGTGCTCCTCGCAGGTGGAAAAGGCTCCAGCTGTGACCGTGCTTTGCTGACTTTTGTGTGTTTCCTTCAGTCTTTGACAATTGGCGCGTGATGCATGGACGGAGTGCCTTTGAAGGAAGAAGACGCATCTGTGGTGGTTACAGTAAGTTTTGCCCTTTGATTGATCATAATGAAAAATGTTTCTCTGACTTGCGCCAGTCTGCCGAGACGATTTCATTTCACGTTGGAGAAACACAAACTTCCCTCGCCAACAAATCTTGGACAGGGTTGTCGGATAAGCAAACGCATACTGAGCATTGCATGGCGAGTGACAGTTGTATCAGGGAAAGAGTGCATATAAAGGCGAAAGCATTTAGCATGAGAGACGCACAAACATAGGTCAGAGGCATTGATATGAGTCCTTCACGAAGATGGCGGGCCAGGCGGGCTGGACCTTGAAAGACAGAGAACTTAGAAGCGCGCCAGTCGAGTTGAAGCGGGGATCGTTTTAGCCCCGATGGCCCCGCGATTCAGGGCCCCCCGTCCCAGCATCTGCCCGCGGTAAAATCAACTTTAGCATGTTGGAAACCGCCAAATCTGGAGCAATGTGACCCGAATACCCCCGAACCCCGGGCCCCCATGGCACCAATGCACCCCCACACCACCCCCCGGCGGCGCCCGAGGTTGTTGAAGACACATGCGACATGCAGAAGCGGCCGTCGCCCTAATTAGTGCCGTGCCGTCTTCAGGGTCAATGACGGCGGCCATGATGCCAATGACACGACCTGGAAACCGCCTTTGCTACCCCTCCATCCGTTCATCCTGGCGGTACGGCGGCACAGCTACCCCTTCTCGAAGCTCCACCGCGTCACCTCGCTCAGGATTGTTCCGTCGGCCCAAGTCGCATGAACCAGGGGCGCTCATTGCCGCGGCGCGCCGACCATACTGGTATTAGTATTAGCTTGCTCCTCCCCTCGCAATCTTCGTACTTCGTGACCCTCTCGTGGAATCCTCAAAGACCCTCAGATTGCGGTGAAGCTTCTCCCTAGAACCCTGTCAAACCAAGTCAGACAGAAAGAACTCAAGGCCCTCTTGCGGCATATTCTTCTTGCCGCTCCTCAATAAAATGTTCGGTTCCGTCCTCCGCGCCGCCGTCTCACGGCCTCGAGTCCTCTGTGTCCCTCGTGCAACAACGGCCAGCAGATTCGCAAGATTTCAGCCCTTCTCCACGACAATCGTAAATATGGCCGACATGAAAGACGGCGCGTTCAAGAACAACGCCACAGAGCCGCCGGCCGGCAACCGTGTGCTGCCGTTGTTCTCACTCAAGGGCAAGACGGCCATCGTCTCCGGCGCGGGCGCTGGCATTGGTCTGAACATTGCCCATGCCTATGCCGAGGCTGGCGCAAACGTTGCCATTTGGTACAACAGCAACAAGAAAGCATTGGAACGAGCAGCCGAGATCGAGAAGGAGTACGGCGTCAAATGTTTGTGTTGCGGTTGGCGGCATGGCTGGAGCTGAGTTGCTGACCTCTCTTTGCAGGCAGAGCGTACCAGGTGAACGTCACATCCCACGAATCGATTGAAGAGTCCGTCCAGCAGATCGTCTCTGAGTTCAACGGCCGTTTGGATATTTTCGTCGCCAACTCAGGCATTGCCTGGGAGGAGGGCCCTTTGATTGACGGGCCCATGGATAAGGGCGATAAGGTCATGGCCGTCAACGTCAATGGCACAACTTACTGCGCCCAGGTTGCCGGCACTCATTTCCGCCGACAGAAGAAGGAGGGCACGACGCTTGACGGCAAGCCTCTCGAGGGCTTCACGTATGGCAGCTTCATTGCGACTGCCAGCATGAGTGCCCACATCGTGAACGTGCCACAGGCGCAGGCGGTGTACAACGCCTCCAAGGCGGCCGTGATCCACCTTTGTGAGTATTCCTGTGAGTCTTGGGTGGTGCGAAGTTAATGAGTTGGAAAGGCAAGAGTTTGGCTGTTGAATGGGTCGACTTTGCCCGCGTCAACACAGTCTCTCCTGGTTACATCAAGACCGAGATCACCGACTTCGTCCCGGAAGAGTCCAAGAAGCAGTGGAGAAATAAGACACCTATGGGGTAAGTTGATGGCACACAAAAGCGTGCTTGTGACGTGGCTGACAATTGGCAGACGTGAAGGAGAGCCCAGGGAGCTCAAGGGCGCCTATTTGTACCTTGCTTCGGACGCTGCCTCGTACACGACTGGCTGCGACATCACCGTCGACGGAGGCTACTGCTTGCCATGAAGCAGATGTCGATAATAAGTTTTTGGCTGCGAAAGTGGCTCACAAACTGCACGAAGTCGGAGGAGAACAGCGACCGCGTCAGGCAATTGAGCGATATGCATAAAGCCGAAAGAACTTGAGGTTCAGATCGCGACCAATCTTGCAAGTCGGTTATGGCCCGTTGAATAACGGCGACTGAATCCGAGTCTGTGCAGTGGGTGGAGAATAAAGGCTAGAATACCCATGTATTAGACGGTTGGAGAGCCGGAACAGAAGTAGAAACTAGAGGCTTTAAATGAGATCAAGAATTGATGCCAGTTGGCGTAGATGCGAGATCGATCGTGTCGCGTGATATATGCCGTGTTCCATGGTTGCGTTGATGGTGGGAGGAAGTTGCAAAGACAATTGAAGCGAAAGGGAAACCACCCAATCCGAAGCATGGGATTTCTGGTGCTCCTAATTATTACAGCACACCAAAGAAAGATACGATGGGAGCAGGATTGGAGGCTGGAGCCAAGTGGAAAAAGTAAGGTAAGGTCCAGTAGCGCCAGTGATGAGGGGGAGGGGAGGTCGAGGGACCTCTCTCGAGGATACGTACCTGGTACTTCCTCGAACCTAAGGTGCTTGGCGCTGTTCTTGCGGCCATGTGGGGTTGGAAGAGGCAACTGGACGCCTTTGACAGGCTGCACCAGCATGCGGCTGCCTCTCAGACGACACTCGACCAGAGGAAACAGGAAGAGGGGACCAGCAGGAAGGACACTGCACAGTGAGCGTCTGAATCGAGGCTCGGGTATTCCTTCGTAGCAGCAAGAGTAAGGTGGTGTTCCCGGTACTTGCATACACGCGTGAAGAAAGTGGGACCCCAAGTCCCTTCTACCTGCCCTGCCCACCCCGCCGTCCGCGGACACGTCTTCGGTCGGCCTGCCACCTGCCATTTCATCTGAGGTGTGCGTTCCAGCTCCCCTCCCGCGCGCGGGCAGCAGCTTACCTTAGCAACTGCACCCCTAGAGAACCGGTGGATTCGCCATTCTAAATGGTATCAGTGGCTGACTTTACCTTCCGCAGCTCACCTAAAGTACCAAGGACTGCGAAACTGGAGCACCAAATTGGCGACCTGCTGCTGCACACCTCACTGCAAACCTGCCGAACGCTGGACACTGGACTGGTCCTTGCCGAGTGCAGTACTGCGTATCCCATCCCGTCCCATCCCCTTCACCCATCTCCCCCTTCTCAGCCCTATCTTTCCTCACCTCAATTTTTACCCCTCGCCTCACCACGCCTCGCATTGCTTCGAAGCCTGGTTTTGCCCGTCTCGTGCCCAACGTCTTGTCGCCACCCAGCTCGCCTCTTTGTAGGCCCATCGCGACTTGATCAGGAGCTGGTGCTATCCTTACCGTCCTTCACCGCTCACTTGCTCTGCATCATCGATACCCGACCGATTCCCTCGACCAGCACTTGACTTCTCTCCCCCTTACCTCGCCTCAACCCACCAGCCAGCAATCATGGACCCCGAAGGCAGCGCGCCTGGTCCCGACGACCGTCGCAACCAGCAGGTCGACAATGCCATTCGCGCCATTCGCGAGAAGAAGCCTCTACCCGAGATCGACTTCACTATCCACACCATGGAAGATGGCACCCAAGTCAACACCATGGAGCGAGTTTGCAAAGGTACGCCGCTTCTGCTGTCGACGACATCACTCCTCCCCCGCCTCAGACTGCGTCACGATGCCCCTCGCTCTATTGCAATCAAGCCCCGCCCGACGATCAATCCCGCGCTAACCCCCGATTCCTCTCCTAGATGTCCAAGCTCCTGCCATGTTCACCCCCTCCGACGAGCAGTTCTTCGAGGACGAAACCCACACGAAGCCCAACATCAACTTCCTGAAGCAGCACTTCTATCGCGAGGGTCGCTTGACCGAGGAGCAGGCCCTATGGATTCTCAGAACCGCCACCGAGCTGCTCCGCGCCGAGCCCAACCTGCTCGAGATGGATGCGCCCATCACTGTTTGCGGTGACGTTCACGGCCAGTACTACGATCTGATGAAGCTGTTCGAGGTCGGTGGCGACCCGGCCGAGACGCGATACCTCTTCCTCGGTGACTACGTCGACAGAGGTTACTTCAGTATCGAGTGTGTCCTGTACCTCTGGTGCTTGAAGATCCACTATCCCAAGACCCTGTGGCTGCTCCGTGGTAACCACGAGTGTCGCCACTTGACGGACTACTTCACCTTCAAGCTGGAGTGCAAGCACAAGTACTCTGAGTCTATTTACGAGGCCTGCATGGAGTCCTTCTGCTGCCTGCCCCTTGCGGCTGTCATGAACAAGCAATTCTTGTGTATCCACGGTGGCCTGAGTCCTGAGTTGCACACTCTGGATGACCTGCGTAGCGTTAGTTGATCTTGTTCCAGACCTGCCATCAAACACGCACTAACAAGACGGTTCAGATCGATCGATTCCGTGAGCCGCCCACTCAGGGTCTCATGTGCGATATCTTGTGGGCCGACCCTCTTGAGGACTTTGGACAAGAAAAGACCAGCGACTATTTCCTGCATAACCATGTCCGCGGTTGCTCCTACTTCTTCTCGTACCCGGCCGCATGCAATTTCCTCGAGAAGAACAATTTGCTGTCCGTCATTCGAGCCCACGAGGCGCAAGATGCAGGCTACCGAATGTATCGCAAGACGCGTACCACGGGCTTCCCCAGTGTCATGACCATCTTTTCGGCGCCCAACTACCTCGATGTTTACAACAATAAGGCTGCTGTTCTGAAGTACGAAAACAATGTCATGAACATCCGGCAATTCAACTGCACGCCCCACCCGTACTGGCTACCAAACTTCATGGATGTCTTCACATGGTCGCTGCCGTTCGTCGGTGAGAAGATCACCGACATGCTTATCGCGATCCTTAGCACTTGTTCAGAGGAGGAGCTCAAGGAGGACGCTACTCCTTCGTCCACATCGCCCGGTCCCATGTCGCCCCCCCTCTCCGGAACGCAGGATCCCGAGTCCATCGAGTACAAGCGCCGCGCAATCAAGAACAAGATCTTGGCCATTGGCCGTCTTTCGCGTGTGTTCCAGGTGTTGCGTGAGGAGTCTGAGAGGGTTACGGAGCTTAAGACCGTCTCCGGTGGCAGACTTCCTGCTGGAACGCTCATGCTTGGTGCTGAGGGTATCAAGAACGCCATCAACACATTCGAAGACGCCCGCAAGGTTGATTTGCAGAACGAGAGGCTTCCTCCCAGCCATGACGAGGTTGTGAAGCAGCAAGATGAGGATAGGAAGCAGGCGCTCGAGAAGGCTGCCGAAGATGCTGCCAACGATAAGAAGCTGCAACAATTGTCTAGGAGACTGAGCACGTGAGTCAATTCGCTCAATCAGGAGAAATTTCCATGCTGACAGAATGTTTAGTGATCGCAAGAGTCATAAGGGATGAAGCGAGAGCTCTGGGGGTTAGAACTTGTTTATGATAGAGGGCACTCGGCAGTTCAAAGCAAAATTAGGGCGTCGGGCTCGGCAATGCCTTTCATCATTTACTTCAGCCAGGAATGCTGATACACGAATACATCTCGAGAGCATCTTCAAGTATGAAGCTTGCGGGGTATCAGTCAGCTACCGTCGTCGTTTGGCCATAGGTGTTTCAAGCCTGAGATAGAATCGACAAGGCGGGTGCGAATCTCAGGAGGGCCGCATACAAACGATTCTTAATCGAAAAGGTCCTCTCCTGCAACGTGTTTGATATAGTAGGCTGGCTAGGACAGTCAATATCATTATGCATTGGATTTCCTATTACACGTGCCATTTGCCCCAACCATTCTGAAAAGGACATGAAAACTGACGAGACCTGCCATCACTAGAAAATGGCGAGAACATTCGGTGGGCTACAAATAAATATTAGCAACAACAGTCTGAGGACATGGTGGAGACTCACCTGGCAACACCTCCCGGCACATGGCAGGGCTCGCTGGACACGAAAAAGCTCCATCTCTTCTCCTGCTTGCACTTCTCAGCCAGAGCTTCGAGGTCAAACAGCTCACCGATCGGCATGCCCCAGCCGCCAAGGAGGATCTCGTGCATCCAGTACTGCGGGTCCTTGCGTGGCCAACACTCAAAGGCCGGCTGGTCTCCCGCGACGGCGGAGAAGTTCTCCCAGATCCAGCGCAGGGCCTCTTCCGACTGACCCACGCCACTGAAGGTTTGGGGTTCGGCAGCGCGGTAGACCTGAAGGTCTGAGGCGGACTTTGAGGCGTGAGATGCCATGAAGCCTAATCATGTGAGTCTGCTGCCCGCGTGAGTCGTTGGGTAGGAGAGATTACCTGTGCGTACGATGAGGATATCGCCGAATCTGACCTCCGTTCCTTGAGCTTCCAGGCAGGCCTTGAGCTCGGAGGCTGGAATAGAGTCGTGCGCGAAAGGGTCGTAGGAGATGTTTTGAGAGAGGCGCCAGGAGTGGTAGTCTACCAGCACGCCACGGCCTACAATGCCATGCTTTTGCCAGGCTTCACGTCACTCAGCTCCGACTGTTCGATATCATTGCACGGGTCAACTCACCTTGAATGCCGTTGACAGTCGACAATTTCCCGTTCTCGTCAACGGCATGGACCTGCTCCATGGTCACGTCGTTGTAGAAGCGCTTCTCTTCCTGATAGCCACAGTGGCGGAGGCCGTCCCACTGAGATGAGGATTGCGAGTTGAAGGTCCAGATGTCATCGTTGGCGAGGAAAGGGGCTTTGACCTGGAGTTCGAGGTGAAAGGAGCGGCGGGCGAAGAAGGGTTCGGGCTGGGCTGTGAGAGACCAGTTCAAGGAGACGCTTGGGAGTGTTTGTCAGTGTCTCGAGGAATCAGGTACGTGAGAGGCTTGTGTGGTTTACCGGGCTCCTGTCTTGATTTCGCTCTTGGCTGCTGCCGCGACGCGCTCATCGGTGAGTCTGTTCAGGGTCCCGAGTTCGTCTTCACGGCCGTAGAGACCCCAGGCGGAGTATCTGGGGTCGTCCTTGCCGAGGGGGAGGGACTCGAAGGGCGGGATGCCGTTCTTGTTTAAGGTCACGTTCGTAGGGGCCATGTTGGAGATCAATTGTTGGCCCAGCTGTTGAATGCGCTTCATCGCCTTTCTCAAATTACTACAAGGCAGACTTGGGTAAAATAATCAGTTGTTGTTGTTTAGGATGTCGGAGAACGAATTTCAGATGATGTCAATCGCCCGAGCACCTTCACTTATTTATCAGCAACCTCGGAACTCCGCACTTCTTGACCGTTGACATGCAAGCTGCCCGCACTTTTTCACTACCACATCACTATTTCCCGAATCGGCTTTAAGAGCGGGGTGGCTGCGTAAGGGTTTCCGGTCCAATGCCGCGCCCAACGACTTTCAATGAATGAACGACTACGATGGTCTACCCTGAAGGCGGAGTTTCCATCACCCATATGAGCAGTGGACGTGCAGTCACGACCGCACCTGTTTGGGTTGAGCTCTATTGTGCATTCATTATCAGATGATTTGGGAGTTCTTGATTCCCATTTTGCGCATATCAAAAACGAGGGGGAGGAGACCTCAGGAATATAGTCACGACAGGCGGTCCGAGATATCGCAATAGCGAAATTGGGTCCTTCATTCCAGTCATTGTCATCCATGGCATGAGGCTGGGTTGTCAGAGCCTCAAACTCGCGATAAAGAGGACTTGAATTAGAGATTGTGTGGGAATGTAATGCATTTTCGTTGGCTTCGTTTGGAGGCATCCACCTCATCATGGCCAATATCACATCTCATCAACTCCAACACCAATCACAACACCTTTTGAACCAACTCGACAGTGTCGAAAAATGCCTCCCGCTCTGTGTCAACCTTGTTGAGACCCAATCCGAGAACCAGTGTTCTTCGATCCTCCGGATCGCGCGTGGAGATGAGACTGGCAATTTGTGCGGCGTACAGCTGGCCGAGAGTCTCGCGCTCGTCGCCGCCTCCTCCCAGAAGAGTTTTGGGGGTGAGATGGACGGAAGGTAGCAGGCCACGACTAGCTGATGGGAGGCTCAGGTCGACCATGCCGCCCGATGAAGCCTGCAGTGGTACTTGGATCTGGGGGCAGGTTAGCATTCCGGCTTCCTTTGTGGGCTAATAATTCATAGTTACCCATTGGGATAGTTTTCCCTCTTGCGAAATTGTGATCATGATCTTGTCGGAAAAGGTCATGGACGAGACTTCCGTTGGGACACCGTTGACCGTGCCATTTTCCTGTTTGCTGCGGGCGGGGAAGGGCTCTTCCCTGATACCTTGAGGGTCCATATTGGTGAGGACGGATGAGGTGAAATCTCTCTTGTTGGCAGGACCAAGTTTACAGATGATTCTAGTTTTCACAGTGTTGTTGCCTGCTGGTGAAAATGACTTCTCAATTCGGCCACAGTATTGTGCTGCTAGGGAGCTCCGGCGCCGTCATCTGCGGGCAGCGCCTTCAGTGACGCCGGCCCCGCTACAGCGGCCGGGACAGGGGTGCTGATCGCCCCCCGGACGAGCACTAATCCGCATTTGGGGTCATTGACAGGCGGTCAGAGCGGCAGAACTCCTTCTTCCCAAAAATTTCCAGACCTTTTGGTCGCGAATCTTATCGGCTTCAAGTATACTGAAAGACGAGGTAACTGGCTATCGTCATTTTTCTGGTCATTTGATACCCTTTGAATGATGGCTCTGTACTGAAACAAGCCGACTAATTTTCCTGCTTGTTTTGTCACAAATTTGCTTCCTTTGGGGCACCCTATAGAAGTCGACAGCATTCATCCGGATTTCGAGACCGCGAAATCTCACTTGAGATTTTCTGAGCCAGGTCCATCGTCAAGAATTTTTAAATTGATCAACCGACGCAACAGCCACCGCAACAGCCACAACGTCCAGCTTCTCTTATTGCAACAACCGTCAATTATAAAAGATGGCCGGAAAATTTGTCCGCAGAGAGCGGAAGCACAAAAAGCTTGCACGCCAAAAAGCTGACGACAATGCCGTCCTTCCGGACGCAAACGCTGATGAGATTCTCCCGGAAGACCAGAAGCGCCTGGTGGAGAAGAGGGCCCAGATCAAGGCCGACCTGTTGAAAGATGGCCCCAAGGTCAGCGGCAAGAAGGCGAAGCGCCTGGAGAAGTATATCACCACGAAGATGCGCAAAGATGAGAACCGCGAGATCCTGGCCAAGTTGGCGCAGCAAAAAGTCGACACCAGCCTGTTTACAAGTACCAAGTCTTTGGGCCAGGGCAAGGAGACGAAGAGGCAAGCTTTGACCCGGGCGCTGAGGGAAAAGAATGCGGGTCTGGAGGTGGATGAGCAGGCGGAGGAGATGCTGTATGAGGAGAGGGGAGAGACGCCGGAGGCGGAGAGCGATGAGAGCGAGGAAGAGGCTCCGAAAGCGATTGAGGCACCGAAGAAGGCGCCTGCGCCAAAGACAGTACCTGCAACGAAATCGAAGCCAGTAGCAGAGACAGCCAACTCGCCTGCGCCGGTTGCTAAAACGGAGACGCAACCTCAACCGCAGCCGCAGATTCCTGCCAGCGTGGGGTCTGGTCTGAAGCGCCCGCTGGATGTTGGCGATGACGGTCGCCCGGTTCTGAAGAAGCGTCAGAAGAGAGGCGGTGTCGTATCCAAGTTCTCAATCATCGAGACCGAAAAAGCCGATGACGCAGAGGAGGAATGGGGTGGCTTCAGCTCAGAGGGAGAAGATGGAGACGGCAAAGACAGTGGCGAGAGTTCTGGAGATCAATCCTCAGAAGAGGAATCCGACGAGGAGGAGGAGGAATCGAGCGAGGGATCCGACGATTCAGACGAGGAAATGGACGAGGACAGCGATTCGGGTAGCAAGAGGCAATCTGCCTTTAAGGCATGGGCGCACGCTCAGAGGAATCAGGCTCTGGGTTACCAGCCAGTCGCACCATCAACTACAGCACTCGATATACCCAAGCCCGAAAACTTCACGCCAAGACCTGTGGAACAAGAGCCGCTACCCCAGGAGCTCCAGCCGACGACGAACCTCGCCCGGAAGGCTTACGCCGTTGCGGTAACGAGAACTCCCGAGATCCAGGAGGTGCGCATGAAGCTCCCGGTTGTGGCGGAAGAGCAGAGGATTATGGAAATGATCCACAATAACGATATTGTCGTTGTGTGCGGTTCTACTGGTTCCGGTAAGACAACGCAGGTGCCTCAATTTTTGTACGAAGCGGGCTATGGCTCGCCCAACTCCGACACACCGGGCATGATTGGCGTGACGCAGCCTCGTCGAGTCGCTGCGGTGAGCATGTCCAAACGTGTGGCTCAGGAGCTGGGTGATCACCAAGACAGGGTCGCGTATCAGATCCGCTTCGAGGGTACAACATCGAGCAAAACGGCCGTCAAGTTCATGACCGATGGTGTGTTGCTGCGAGAGATGGCGCAGGATTTCTCCCTGAAGAAGTACTCGGCCATCATTATCGACGAAGCCCACGAGCGAAGCGTCAACACGGATATCCTGATTGGTATGCTCAGCCGTATCAACAACATCCGCAAGGGCGATGACAAGGTCGATCCCAATATCAAGCCGCTCAAGATCATCATCATGTCTGCGACGCTGAGAGTTGAAGACATGACGAACAACGCGACACTATTCCCGACGCCGCCCCCTGTTGTTGAGGTGGAGGGCCGTCAGCACCCTGTCACGATACACTTTACCCGTCGCACGCAGTCTGACTACGTTGACGAGGCCTACAAGAAGATCATGCGAGGTCACAAGAAGCTGCCACCAGGTGGCTTCCTCGTCTTCCTCACAGGCCAGAACGAGATTATGCACTTGAGCAAGAAACTGCGGGCTGCGTTCGGCGGTTTTACCGGGGCGAGTGCCCCCAGGGTTCAGATCTCTGCTACCGAAGCCCCTATGGAAGTGGAAGACATCGACTTTGGCGAGGTTGAGGACGGAGACTTTGGCGAAATCGATGACGACGTCGACGACGATGGAATGGAAGACGAGGACGACAAGGAGTTTGAGATCGAAGGAGAGGAAGGAGAAACAGGCCCCCTCAAGATGCAGGTTTTGCCCCTTTACTCCCTTCTGCCGACGAGAGAGCAAATGAGAGTCTTCGAGGAGCCCCCAGAAAACACGCGTCAAATCATTCTCGCGACCAACGTCGCCGAGACCAGTTTGACAATCCCTGGAATCCGCTACGTCTTCGACTGCGGCCGTGCCAAGGAGCGTCAATATGACCGCCTCAGCGGCGTCCAGACCTACGAGATTGGCTGGATCAGCAAGGCCAGCGCAAGCCAGCGAGCCGGTCGTGCCGGCCGTACCGGCCCCGGCCACTGCTACAGGCTCTACTCCTCGGCCGTCTACGAGCGTGACCTCCCCGAGTTCACAGACCCCGAAATCCTCCGCATGCCCGTTGACGGCGTCGTCCTCCAGCTCAAGTCGATGAACCTCTCCAACGTCGTTAACTTCCCCTTCCCCACTCCGCCGGACCGTATGGGTCTGCGCAAGGCGGAGAAGCTCCTCACATATCTCTCTGCCATCACGCCAGAGGGCCAGGTCACGCGCATCGGATCGACCATGTCCATCTTCCCGCTCTCGCCGCGCTTCGCGCGTATTCTCCTCGTCGGCCACCAGCACGACTGCCTTCCTTACACGATCATGATGGTTGCCGCTCTGTCCGCGGCAGAGATCTTTGTCCCGGAACACCAGGCCATCCCCGCGCTCGCGGCAAAGGGCGACGATGAGTTCCGCACCAACGCAGACATGCTCGCCGAGGACCGCCAGGCCCAGATCCGCCGCGCCTTCAACGCCGCCCACAAGAAGTTCTGCTACCTCGACGACCGCGCCGACGCCATCAAGCTGCTGCAGGTCATCGGCGAGTACGCCCACGAGCCGACGGAGCAGTGGTGCGAAAGCCATTTTGTGCGGCACAAGGTCATGAAGGAAATCACGCAGCTGCGCGGCCAGATCACGGAGCTCCTGCGCGCCAACATCCCGGCGTTCAAAAACCTCAAGTACCAGGACAAGCTGGACGCGCCGTCGGACAAGCAGGTCGCGTATCTGAAGCAGATGGTGGCTGCGGGCTTCATCGACCAGGTCGCCCTCCGCGCCGACAAGTCTCCGGTACCCCCTGAGATGGGCCGCAAGCCGCGCCGGGCGATCGACGTGCCGTACATCCCCCTTTCGCCGCTCGGCGTGGGCCACGACGCAGAGAAGTTCGTCTACCTCCACCCGTCGTCGCCGATGTCCCACCTCAGCCCGGCGGAGTGTCCCGAGTGGGTGGTGTACTCGCACCTGCAGCGCGCGACGCAGGGCGACCCGGGGAAAACGCCCAAGACGAGGATGCACACGCTCACGGACGTCACGGGAGGGCAGCTGGCGAGCCTGGCCAAGGGCACGCCGCTTGTGAGCTACGGCAAGCCGGTGAAGGAGATCAGCTCAACGGCGAGCACGAGGGAAGTGTGGGTTGTGCCGTATCTCCGCGCCGAAGGTGTGGGTGGGCAGGGGTGGCCTTTGCCGATGAAGAAGGTTACGCAGCGCAAGGTTGCTGGGAAGGGGTGGGTTGTTGAATAAGGCGTTGGGGAACTTTGGGGTAAACAAAAAAGTAATTACTGGTGAATTTGGTTTTTGAGCTTGAGAATAGACGGAGGGTTCCGTACTCACGGCGTTCAACTGCAGATCCCGTCGTTTGTGCAAGACATTGAACTTGGAAGAGGTCGTCATCAACTAGCTATGACAACCGGCCGCCCTTCCGTGCTCGTTCCAGAAAACGAGGTTCTCCGCGGGAGTCATGACTTGTTTCAACCGGAAATGTCCCCAAACGGCGTCGATGTACATCAAACCCGGATACGACGAGTTGTGCGATCCGCGAGCACGTTATCCGTGCGAACCCGTTTCTATGCACATATCTCTGCACACGTGGTTGGCACAGAGAGCAGGGACATCAGCCCAGACTTTTTGGAATTACTGAGGCCGGCCTGCCCTTTTTGCATGTAGGGCTACGTGTTCCCTCGCTCGGTATTCTGCCCCATGGATGGGGCAAGTCGAAGGGAACTTCGGACGAAGGAGGAACTCCCCAAACGGGCTGTGGCAGCAAGGGAAGGCCGTGCCGGCCCGAGCGAAGAATTCGCGAGCTTTTTCTAGATTGAGTTGAATTGAGTTCCACAGAAGATTACGAGAGGTTCGGCGGGAAGGTGCGCCCAGGTGTATGTATGTGTGTGGTGTGTACGTGTGCTGACGCTGACTCTGCGGTTTACTTTCTTGAGTCGACTTTGCCCGTGACTTTTGGGCTGGAGCTGGTTGCCCACTTACATGCCGGCTGGATAATATCTGCATCACAGGATCGTCATTCTGTGCAGATCACCCGCGTGTGATATTTGTGGCATGAAACCATTGCTGAACACCTCGACCAGCTCGACAGGAAAGATTCCATGATTGGCAGGGCAAAGATGTCGCTTTTTGAGGGCGTCGCCGTCGTGACGGGAGCTGCGTCCGGTATGTCACCCATATCACTGCCCCCAGCTCGCATGCATCATGCAGCTCGTCTCAAGTGACGAACCAAAGACAACAAAACATAATGCAGCTCGTTTAGCTTACAATCCTAGGTATCGGACGCCAGGTCGCAGTCTCCTTTGCCCGCGAAGGCTGCAAGCGCATCGCCCTTCTCGATAAAGATGAAGAAGGCCTTTCTGAGACGTCACGCCGGTGTCGAGAAGCCAACGGCGACACGCGCACGTTTGTCATTGAAATCGACAACCGCAACGAGGATGACGTCTCTGCCGGTATGGAGTACGTGACTGAGGAATGGGGACGGATCGACTACGCTGTCAACTGTGCCGGTGAGTTACTGCGTTTTCCACGGTGATGCATTCAGTGGGAGAGGAAGGAAGAAGAAGCTGAACATTACCAGGCATGTTCGGACCAAAGGCCCCATCGCATCTTCTCACGACGGCTGAGTTCGACGAGATCACGACCACGAATTACCGTGGGACCTGGTTGTGTTCCAAGGCAGAGCTCTCCCAGATGATCAAGCAAGAACCGCTCAAGACTCACGACGGTAGACCGGGGAATAGGGGAGTGATTGTCAATGTTGCCAGCAACCTGAGTCTGGTGAGCCGGCCAGAAACTCGTGAGATCTCAATGCCCACATTCCTTTGACGTTTCTTCTGACATGGCTTGCAGCCGCGTACAGCGCCTCCAAAGCAGCTATACTAAGTCTCACCAAGAGCGATGCTGTTGATGTGAGTTTCATTACACTCTCCTACGAGGTAAATGGCTAAAAGTGGACAGTATGCAAAGTACAACATCAGAATTAACTGTGTCTGCCCCGGAATTATTGAGTAAGTCTACCAAACTCATAGCGCTCAATGCCGGAATGCTGACGATGATAGCACTCCGATGACAAGTGAGGTCTCTACAGACGACCCGATCATTGCAGTAGCACCCATGAAGCGCAAGGGAACGCCCCAAGAAGTCGCCGATGCAGTTTTGTTTCTGTGCAGCTCCAAGGCAACGTTCATCCACGGCGCCGCGCTTTCGGTAGACGGAGGGTATGTCATTAACTAAGACATTGAGAAAAGAATGCCAAAGACAGCATGGCGGCTTGTGACGTGAAGATATAGCATCAGAGGGGAGTCCGGTAGGAAAAGTAGGCATGGCAGCTGAGAAAGGAGCTAGGAGAGATGACAATTCAACGGAATTTCTAAACTTGAGACAAACATCACTAGATGAGAAGGAGTTAGTTGTCCGTTGTCATGTCTGCTCAATCCATTTCATAGGAGGAAGCCCTTATATCTCACCCCTTCCTCGACCGCCAGGTCCAGGACGTCTTTAGGACAGCAGCCAGTCATTTTCCAAGAGTTGGTAGACTTAATCATCAAAAGTTTGAACTGTGAATATGTACTTTTGCATCTTTTAATTACGTCTCAATAGTATCCGCCGAAGAACACATCGAATGTGTGCCGTTTTTTATTATTATTCACGATTTGTTTCTTACGTTAGCGTGGAAGGCTGGTAGAGTTGAAGTTTTCCCTCCCGTAGAACGTGGATTACAAGCCATTCCCTTCATTGAGGCAAAATTAACGAAGGCAATCCATAATGCTGGTATTCTTCGATCTTTCAAGTTTTTGTTTGACAACGGCAGCTATTGCTCACCGGATCAGATTGCTAATCAGACGCGCAACACCGCCCACCACCAATGTGTCCGAAAAGTCTCCATGACCGCTAATGACCATGACTATATCTTCCTCTCCTTCTCGTCCACATCCCAAGCCAGACTCCATAATAAACCCATCTAAACACCAGCAACATGACAATACCAACCCCAAAGATCCTCATCGTAGGCTCAACAGGCCGCACCGGCACCGCAACCATCTCCGCCCTCCTCGCCCGCCCAAACCCGCCCCAGATCCTCGCCCTCACCCGCTCCCCCTCCTCCCCCAAAGCCAAAGCCCTCCTCACCTCCCACCCATCCATAACCCTCGTCAGAGGCGACCCAGCATCCCCCGCGCCAATCTTCGCCTCCCACGCAGACATCTCCGCCGTCTACCTCGTCACCGTCCCGCCCGCAGACGAAGCGCAAGCCATACCCCTAATCGACGCCGCCATCGCCGCCCGCGTCCCGCACATCGTCTTTACGAGCGTCGACCGCGGCGGCGACGAAGCGTCCTGGGACACGCCGACAGACGTGCCGCACTTCGCGGCCAAGCACCGCGTGGAGCTCCACCTGCGCGACACGGCCGCCGGTACGGGGACGCGGTGGACGGTGCTGCGGCCGTCTGGGTTCATGGACCAGTACCTCCCCGGCGCGGGGGCGATGGGGGCCGTGATGGGCGGGTTGTGGGCCACGATGCCGCGGGACAGGAAGCTGCAGCTCGTTAGCGCGCGGGATATTGGAGTTTTCGCGGCGCGAGCGCTGGTGGAGGGGCCTGATGGCTGGGGAGGCAGAGCGGTTGCTTTGGCGGGCGATGAGATTAGCTTCGCGGAGGCAGAGGAGACGTTTGAGAAGGTTGTAGGCAGGGCGATGCCGCAGACGTGGACGGTTGTCGGGCGTGCTGTGCGCTGGGCTGTCGAGGATGCGGGGAGGAGTATGGACTGGTTTGAGAAGAAGGGTTACAAAGCTGATATCGAGAAGTTAAGGGAACTGGAGCCTGGGTTGCAGACCTGGGAGACGTGGTTGAGAGAAAGTAGTGGGTGGGTGAAGGGAGACTGAGGAGCTGGGAGCCGGGAGCTGCGCCTGAAATCCATGACCGAATAGTTGATTTGTATATATGTTAAAAGCCATCGCGAGCGCAAGAAATAGTCACAATCTGAACCGTTCATATAGCAGCCGGTAACGAGATTTGATCACTCTATAACCAAAAAGGGGTATCATCACACTCAAACGCCTAAACCAATGCCACGTCTAAACCGCCCTGCCGCCTATGACGGAGCAGGCGTCGTACCCGGCGTCGCAATCTTGCTCTTCTTCCTCTTGGGCTTCGGCATGCTCGGCGTCTTGGGGCTCTTCTCCCCCTTGCCGTCCTTCTTCGCCTCCTCCGCCAGCTTCGTGTTGATGCCAGGCTTCTGCGGCTTCTGGGCCGCCACCGGCGGCGGCGGCGGCACGATCTTGCTGTTGTCCTTGCGTCCCGTGCTCGCGAAGTGGAAGTCGCCGGGCCTGCCCGTGATGGGGTTCTCGTCAAAGTAGTCCCCGCCGTGGCGCATGTGGATCGCGAAGGATTCCTCTGCGAGCCTGTCCAGCGCGGCGGCCTCGGTTTCCTTCTTGTTGTTCGTGGACTTTGTGGCGGCCCCGTTGGAGGCGCTGCCGCCGTCGGGCATCGGCGTGCTGGCTGCCGCGTCTTCCTTGTTCTTGGAGAGGTTGGTCGTGGGTTGCGTGTAGACGTGGCCCAGGGAGGGCGTCCACTTTCGCACGCTGTCGGCAGCGGGCAAGACTTTGCGCATCGAGTCTGCTATCGTTTCCTATCCCCCAGTCAGCGTTTGTTCCTCGGCGCGGTGGGAGCTCTCTGCGACCTACGATTTTGGAGCTCAGGATGTCACCCAATGTGGGCGCCTGGTAGATGTTCTCGTTGCAGACGAAGTAGTACGCCAACGGCTTTGTCTCTATCCTGTTCCTCTCCGGGTTCTTCTGCCGCATCTGCTTCACAATAACCCACACGCCCGTGCCCGTGACCATGTCGGCAGGCGCGTGGAGGACGCGGAACTCCAGCCCCGTCATCTTGTCGAGCTCGCCCTCGAAGGCCTCGCGGGTGGACAGGTTTCTGAGAAGGGCCGGGTTGAACATGGCCTGGTTCGTAATGACGGCATTGTTGGACTGGCGATCGAAGAAGGGCGACTCGGCAAAGTAGAAGAGGACGCTGTTGGAGTGTATGCCCTGCATGCCGGCCGCGATGAAGGGAGAGCTCCATTGGATCTCGTCCAGGGGAGGACCTGCCGGGTTCGCCATTTCGAATTGTTGTGGCTGTCGTTGCGTGAGACAGTTCTGAGGTGGTACGGCGTGGGGACGGGAGTGGTGAAGTTGTTGAATGTGGGAACTGGTCCGCGGAGCTGGCAGAGCCGCAGTGTGCACGGAAGACGGGAGCTCTTTTGTATCGTGGGGCCGGAGCTTGTTGGAATTGAACCTGCAGGGAAAGCGGCAGGCACTTTACAGGGGTTATTTTTGCGGGACGGAACGGCGTCATCACGTGAGAGACATACCTGCCGGTCCGACCTCCCGGATCAGAGACTAAATCATCGACAAACAACTGCCAGACAAACACTTATCCCAACCTGCCCTCGACCTTCACATACGACGATCCGACTGCCAAAAAAACCAACCTCAAAATGGACCTCCTTTCGAGTGTCCGCAAATCAGGCTCCCGCGGCGGCGTCAACTTCTCCTGGGACGAGGTCGCCAACTCCAACCACCGCGAAAACTACCTCGGCCACAGCCTCAAGGCCCCCGTCGGCCGCTGGCAAAAGGGCCGCGACCTGAACTGGTACGCCAAGGCCGAAGACGACGCCAACGCCGGCGACAGCAACGAGACCCCCGAGGAGCGCCAGGAGCGCGAGCGCCGCGAGGAGGTGCGCAAGATCAAGGAGGCCGAGGAGGACGCGCTTGCACGCGCGCTGGGCCTGCCCGTCCCGCAGCGTGATACGTCGGGCGCGAACGCAGTGGAGGTCAGCGGGTCGAGGGGTATTGGCGCTGCGCCAGCACCGGAGCCACAGCAGGAGCAGAAGGGTGGGCTTATGGTCAAGGAGAAGAGGGAACGAAGGGACCGAGGAGATCGAGGCGACAGGGATAGAGGTGAAGACCGGGAGCGGAGACGACGACACCGGAGCCGCAGCCCGAGACGGGAGAGAAGGAGAGATGACGAGAGGAGGCGGAGCCGTGAGAGGGGCGGAGACGAGCGACGGAGGAGAGAGCGGGACGGCGACAGGGACAGGGACGGCGAGCGACCCAGGGATCGTGATGAGGATCGGGAGAGGCGGCACCGCAGGAGAAGTCGGAGCCAGGACCGCGAGCGGAAGGAGCATCGACGGAGGAGCAGAAGCAGAGAACATCGGCACAGGGATCGAAGGCGCAGCCCCGATGAACGCCGTTAAGCTTTTGGTCTTCTAAGAAACTTGCATAATACCCTACTATTGTCTTATAGCGAGTGCACGACTGCAAAAAATAACGCACGACTAAGATTGCAGCATAATCATTTTATTGCTCTCACAACGCTCTATGCCATGTTTACTATTCGTGCATGCAAATATTTGGGCACTATAACCCAAAGTCAGAGCTGGTATCTTCATCGTACTATATCAACGCCAAACTCCAATAGCATCACATTTTACAAGCTGAATGATCCGACATAGTACTGTCAAATATTAGCAAGTTGCCAGTACCGCATGATTCACGATCTTACCGTGAGGACCGCCTCATCCGCGCCCGCATCGTCATACTGCGGTACATAGACGTAAAGAATGAGAGCGTGCTCATCCGCAAAAGCAGCAACAACTCTCCCTTCAAGTCTACCCACACTCAACACTCTGCTCCAATCCTTGCCGTCTACTCTCACAGTCGCCCACTTATCCGGGCCAGCCTCCTTGAACTTGACACTGGGGTGCTCCTTAAGGGGCATATCGATCTGCGCAGCGTCCAGCTCCGGATTTACCAGACCGCTCCACGTCGTAGATACGTTTACGCTCTCAGTAACAATTCGCAACCGCAGGCTTCCAAACATGTTGGCGCTCAGCTCCAGCTTGGGTCCCGCGCGGGAGGTGCCTGACGACATGGCCAGCTTTGTAAACCTGTCGGAGATGGCCTTGAGCTGGAGCAGAGGGGGCATCGTGATGTGAACATCCGTCTCGCGCACCGTGGGCTGCATGATGGTCTCGACCGTCTCCGGGTGCAGGACGCGCACGGGGATGTCCTGGGTGATGATCTTCTCCCTCTCATGGCGCAAAGACGTCAAGTGCTCCGGCATGAAGCCCTCATCGTCGTCAAAGGGGTCATTCTCGAGCCCCGCGTACGCTGCACTGCGGCCTGCCCCGGAAGTACTTGTGGTTGTGGTGATGGTCATCGACAGCACGGGAACGCCATCCTTCTTAGTTAAGCGCAGTGAGGCCGACGTGCTGTTAAGAGCGGACCTCAGCGCGCGCTGGAGCAGCGCCAATGGCAACTCTAGGTTGATGGTGTTATGCTCCTCCGCAGA